GGAGGATGGGGGAAAGCAGTATTTTCAAATTAAATGAACATACCAACAAAACCAGGGTGAAGTCTCTTGCAAGGTGGGGAATCTCCATCTTGGAATGAAAATCCAGCATTAAGACACGTGTCTCCAAGTTGGGAAGAGAAAGCAGTGAACAAACATCCTTCTACCTGCCCCAGGGCCATGGGGGACCTCTGACAGGCCAACCTCTCTGGCCATGGCACAGAGGCAGGTCCCAACAAGCCCCCTTCTCCCATCTCTATACAGAAAGGTATGCCTATGAGAAGCAGGCCCCTGGGGGAAGACTCTACTTACAGAGAACATTATTTATAAGATGAATATTGAGCATTATGAACACTCTGAAAAGAAGCATTTAATGGGAGCTTAAAGTGTACGTGAAGTTCCAGTAGTAATTCTGGTGATTTTCATTCCACTTATTTATGTTCCACACAAGCTCTGTGGCCAAAAGAGACCTGCCAGAAAGCCATCTATAAATGCTACTGCATGAAGAGCAGCAGTCACTCAGGCTCTGTCCCCATGCTTAGCAGGCTGGCCAGTGGTGAGCAAAGGCGCATTAAAAACCCGACAGACCCAGGAAGAGCAGCCTTAGTGCTGGACGTCACTGCTTTCCAGGGAAAGGGATGTATGTAAGGAGTGTACCAGCCTCTGCACAGAAAACGTCTTTTCAGGGCTCTTGTCAATTTTCTTTCACTGTTGTCAACACTAGGAACATCCAGGCAGCCATTCTCTCCATGAATGACAGTTCAGACTTTGGGTTTTTTAAAAAGTAAGAATAAAGATCCCTGCAGGTACAGAATTCTTGAGGCTAGCACACTATAACCAAAGACTAGACAACAGTTCACAAGTGCAAGTAACAGAGTACGTTCTCCACGCAGTACGTACCGCACGTTATATCCCCTAATGGAAATATCTATCAGTACATCAAGAAAAAACATCACATGAGTAGCCTATGATATTGTCTGTATTTGGTTAGAATCAGTCCTATCCCCCAACATGAATATTTAAAGACATAATGGAATCACAGCATTTAAACATCAGTCCAACAAGCATCAAAGATTTGTTCCTTCTGGGAAGTAGCCTAAATTTAAATTCTCAACGGCCTCCAACACCAGGACCTGCTGTTGCCACACTAGTATACCACTGTTCCTTTACAGTTCCATGTCATCACATGTCCCTTACGGTGGCAAGTTCACAGACAGAATGCTAGGTTTCAGGTTTAAAATTATACATACTATGCACCCTTAAAATTCTATGATTTTGCTAAAAAAATACAACAACTAGTGAATATAATAAAAAAGAAGCAGACTCACAGCTAGTGGTTACCAGTGGGGAGAAGGAAGAGGGGAAGGGCCAGATGGAGGTAGGGCATTGAGAGTTACAAACTATTAGGTATAAAATAAGCTACAAGGATATGTTGAAAAACACAGGGAATAAAGCCAGTATTTTATAATAACTATAAGTGGAGTATAACCTTTAAAAACTGTGAATCACTATATTGTATGGCAACTACAATTCAATTTAAAAAACTAAATAAATCTTATTGGTTAAACAAACAAAAAAACCCCAAAACAAACAAAAAAAACCAACTCTATGATTCTGTCCTCTTGTGACAGATGAGAAACCTACTATTCTAAGAGATTCATCAGTGACATGGCCAGTGGCACAGACAGGAAGAGAACTACCTCTCTCCTCTCCACCCGGGCTTTTCCTAGTTAGTATTTTCCAATCCTTATCGTAAAGTTGTTTAAAACGCAACTAAATATGGGGCTGCTCCCTAATGGGGTCTCCAAATGCCAAAAGATGAAGATGAACGAAAAAGCATGTGAACTTAGGCATCTTCTGACATCAAAGCTACAGTGAAACTGACGTTGCTTTCCTGCCAGAACAGACACATGTCAATCTCAGGAGGGCTTACTGGAGGCACAGCAGTGAAACCACCACACTTGCTCACAGCCATGCCTGCTGCCAATCTGTACACATGCACACCAAGCCTCCCCAGTGCCTGAGAGAAGCAAGTGCCCCTCATACCCCAGTAGCTGGCACTCACAAAGAGGTACAGTTATTCTTTCCTTTTCCAGATAGACCTGTAGGTCAAAGGATTTCACACGTGATCTAAAATGAATGACATGTGTGAAACACCCACCCCTCCAGAGAAGCATCTCACCACAGCTCTCCAGCAAGACTGTCTGTCAACTGGACAGAACTGCTCCGGCACCCACTCAGGGTCACATGACCTTCAGTTAGCAAGGCAGGAAGTGAGTCTAGAGAATACCACAACTACTGGCTTAAAAAAAAAAAAAAGTCAAACCAAGAAAGTCATTATAGAACAAGTCTTGGGAAGCTGAGGTGCTTAATTTGGGAGAAGTGAATTCTGAGACTGTGACCCAAGTCCTGTTTTGTGAATTCAGGAGAATCTTCAATAAAGCGATAGCCACAAGTTTACTGTAAAAGTAAGAATATACATTAGGCCACACATGCTCCTGGCTATATAGTGGAGCAATTTATTCCAAAGCAAAATGGAAATCCTAAAGCCAGAAACCAGACTCCCTCAAGGCCCTTCACAGTCTTCAGGATGTTTCTTTCTCTTGCTCTGGTCATACTGAGCTGGTTTACTTTCAGGAAAATTTGGTGACTTTTCATATTTTTTACTTAAGAAATATCTCCTCAAAAACACTTCACCCAAAATATTTTGAGAAAAAGGTGACTAAATTACCCTAAGATTCCAAAAGGGCATAATAATAAAATGTGTACTCTTAAAAGTAGTTACTTATTATCAAAATAAAAATTCACTAAATATATTTTTTTAAACATAAGTATTTAAATCTCCCTTAAAAAATATATGTATTTTTTGTGGTACGTGGGCCTCTCACTGTTGTGCCCTCTCCCATTGCAGAGCACAGGCTCCAGACGCGCAGGCTCAGCGGCCATGGCTCGCGGGCCCAGCTGCTCCGCGGCATGTGGGATCTTCCTGGACCGGGGCACGAACCCGTGTCCCCTGCATCAGCAGGTGGACTCTCAACCACTGCGCCACCAGGGAAGCCCTCCCTTAAAATATTTTTATACCACCTTTTAGAATTACACACACACACAAGAAAAGTCTGCTATTGAATTAAAAGGAAAACCTACACTTGAAAAATAAGACAAAAATTGATGGTACATTTTCTTCTCAATGAACTAGAAAGTGGATTCCTTACAACCAAACCAAAATTAAAACCTACTTGTGTCTTCAGAAGCCACAATCATATTCCTCTTCTTAAAGGAAGACAAACTGTTCTTCTAAAAGCCAAATATCTAAATTTCTCAAGGCAAGTCTCCACCAGTCCGAGTTCTGGCAGTACGGAAGTGTGTCACCCTTCTTAGCTTCTGCTGCAGTCTTTTTACCGTCTCAAGGGCTATTAAATGACTCGAAACAGATGTCTGAGTGCCATTAGGGACCTGCTTCTGCCTGGGAAAGCGGAGAAGCTGAGCATCACAACCCTCTCGACATTCCACTTTCGACAACTACCCATGAACGGGATGAGCTCATCACAGGAGACCCTTATAATTCCTTCACCAGGGCAGAGGGTTAAACAAGGCTCAGCTTTTTATGGCTTTGAATCCCATTTCTCTTTCACACCACTTAATAAAGAAGAGTGTAAGTAGCTTGCTGATATTAAAAAAAAAAAGGAACTGGGGCATAAAAAGAGCCCCTGAACATGGGAGGGTCTGGGGGTACAAATGTGTTATAGCAGAAGACCCCAGTGCTCATCTTGCTACTTGAAGAGGAGAGTTCTGGGGCAAGCTTGTATGTTACCTACTGATTCTGGCTCCGGTTCAGAGCACTTCTCATTTTTACCATCTAGAGATAATTAGGAAGAACGATTATGGTTCAAGCCATTCCAGAAATAGGGATTCTGGGTCCAGCTGTGTGACCCTGGGCAGACCACTTAACCTCTCTGAGCTCCCTGCTTACTCATGTGTCAGTCAGTATGTGTACCTAATAACACCGCACATACTTCAGCCCACTGCAATTTTACAAAGCACGTTCACACACTTCAGTGCATTTGATTCTTGCAATAACCCTGTGGAGTAACAGGGGCTATTATCCTCATTTTATAAAACTGGAAATTGAGGTTCAGAGGCCAAGTGACACACTCCCAATAGCAACCAGAAAGCAGTAGAAGTGGAACCGAACCCTCAACTTCCGATTCCAGTCAAATGCTTCTCTTTTGTTGCCACATCATGTTGCATGATCTCTCTGGTTCCAACAGAATTAAAATGCCACAATTTAAAAAATCTCTGTCGCCATTCACAACTCTTGTCACCGTTTGGAATCTGACACCATTTATACGTTGGGAAAAAGAAGCACATGAGTAAGTGCTCTCTCACATTAAAAACTTCTGTTTTCTATTTAATTCTTTTTGCTCTTTTAAATGCTTAGATGCTGAGTGCTAATAAAGATTGCTTAGTACTAATGGTGAAGAATCTAACAGATCTTGCTTCTGGTGGAAATACTCCTGTATGAAAGAGCCCAGAAAGCACAGTCTACTGTCAAATTAGAAGCACCTAAAAATTGTTACTTTGCTGGATAAAAAAGATATAGAAACCGTAGCATCGAAGATGGACAATGGCAGTGCTGGACCTGAGAGCCTAAGAAAGCCCTTTGGCTGCGTCCTTAACCTTGATGTTTGTGTGGCCTAAGGTCCCCTTCCTCCCATCCCTTCTATCCTCATCCATCCATCCAGTAGGGGGACCTGTGTCATAGGTCAGCGAGGGTGACTGGATACAAAGAAAAATGAAACCTCTGAATGTGTATTCTTTTTACTGGCAGTAAAACTCCTGAGCTGTCAGCAAACTGTGGGGAGGGGCACCTGACAGCCCCATTTGTTTTGCTGGTACAACTCAGAATGAACTGGTTGGGAGCCAGGTTACTGTACACCACGTAAATGAAAGCCATTGTCCCCCACCGCCCCTGTTATTACTATGCCATAGCACTGGGCACTGACCTGCTCTGCCCACTTCCCCTTTCCTCAGTGAGCCTTCAGCCTGGCACCCAGCTCTGAGATGAGGCCTGCTTAGCACCAGTGAAGCTCCCCACATTCAAACCAACAACGTTCTGTGTGGAGATGAGTGAATCAAAGTTAAAATCCAACCCATCAGCATCCATGAGTTCGCTACGGATAATGGACTCCATGTCACATTCCAAGCTCCCATTGAACATGTCCAGGTCCAAGTCGCTGGGGAACTTCTCATGGCCCATGACGGGAAGGTGTGCACTAGCTGAGTACAAGGAGGAGCCTGAGAGAGAGTCCGAGAGGGTTTGCATAGACTGGCTGACAGGAGACTGCTGCTGGTGTTTGGCTGACCCGAGGCTGCTGGACTCGCTCAAGCCCATGTTGCTGACGGAACTTGACAAGGCACGGCTGCCACCGAGAGCGCCCTGGGTTTGGTGCTGGTGGTGGAGCAAGTTCTGATTGACCAAACTCCCCTGGTTAGGCTGGGCGGCAAAGGACATCATTGGATCACTGCGAAGCATCACGTTCCGGCGGGAGTTCTGGGCAGACACAGCGGTGCTGGCCTGAGACATCAAGGGGTCCGACTGGGTCATCATGACATCGCTGTGGCTGAGTGAGTCCGACGTGAGCAGGTCCTGGAGTGTCTGGTTGCCGTAGTGCGACATGGAAGAGAAGGTGGCTGGCTTGTTCTCTTGGATGGTCTGCATGGGAGACTGACGCAGGGAGTTCAGAGACGAGGGGCCAAACACCGTGCTGCTGAAGGAGCTGGTGGGGGAGCCCAGGCCGGAGCCCTTGGTGGTGTATGGGAAGCTGGAGCTGCGCTGCATGAGCCCCCCGGGGGGCGACGGCTGGGACGCAGGGAGCGCGATGTTGTCCAGCAGGTCGTCCATGAGGTTGTCGGCCAGCCCGTCGTTCAGATTCATGGTGCCCGCCATGTCGGTCAGCCGGGGCAGCTCCACGGTGCACGGCTTGCTGACGGAGGGGGACAGGCTGGCCGAGCTGCTGTAGAGCATGGGGGAGAGTGGCGCGTCATCATCCTGAACATCGTCCAACTCCGTGCTAGCCAGGATAGGGGACAGGCGGCCACTGACTGTGCTGGCATTGGAATTGGTGCGTGAGCGGAAGTCGGTCCACGCGTCCAGCTCATCACTGCTGCGAGACGTGGGGCTGCCGGGCCACTTGGAGAGCTGGGAGGGACTGTCGTCTGCTGACTCGGTGGCGGTCTGCAGGGCTGCCTTCTTCTTGGCTGCACGGCCCCGGCTCTTGGTGTACTTGTTGCTGTTGTCCATGGAGACGGCCCGCCGCCGGGGCGCCTTCCCACTCTTCCCCCCGTCGGGGTTGATGATCCACCATGAGCTCTTGCCGGTCCCCTCATTCTGAACCCGCATGAACCGGCTGTGCAGCGACAGGTTGTGCCGGATAGAGTTCTGCAGAGAGAGAAGGGACAATGCAGATGAGCCAGAATGGTCCAAACTGAGCACTCAGAAGAAACAGTTACTAATCAGACTCATTTTTTAAAGCAACCTCAGAGGCTAAGGAAAAAAATAAAAAGGCTTTGCATGACCCTCCTTGGCTTGGTATTAAATGACAGTATTGAAAATGGCAAGCTCCATATTTAGAGGGTGGGAGATGGTTTCATATCCAGGAAATGCTGGGGATGTAGGAGCTCACTGGCATTGTTTTTCTTAAATTCCCAAGTTTTATTGTCCTTTCTGTAATTGTACTTCCTATACTGAAGTTCACACTTATCATGTATTACCACACCATTTCTCCCTGCACTTTGCAATAAACCTCCCTGGCTCTCTAAGGATAATTAATCACTTAGGGGGCTATTTTATTCTATTTTGGTCCCCTCCTCCTCTAGTACAGAGGCAGCATCTACCTTTTCTTAACCACTTCCATGAACCCAGAACTGGTGTGAATTGTTACCGATCCTTTCTACGACTCCATCTCCTCCTGCCACAACTTCACACCTGTCTCACAAGCATAAGAAAAAAATGGTAAAGTAGGATTTGCTGAGTCGACAGAAGGAGGCAAGTTTCCCATTCAAAAAAATTCCAAATAATTTATACAGACACTCCCTCCTCAAGGCAATGTGGTCTGAGCTCAATAACTTCCTTCCGAAGAGTACAGGATAGAAAGAGGAGGTGGGGGAGAGTAACTTTACAGTGAAGAGACCTGACATCTCAGCCAGGTGATCAACATCAACAGGGCAAAGTCAGGTTGATAACAGGCACTCGCTATAATATGATGAAAACAGCACCTTCCTCAGTGGTCTTCCTTCCAAAACCCATCACGCCAGTCTAATCATGAGAAAAACTGCAGACAAATCCCAGATAAGGAACATTTTTAAATGCCTGTCCAGTAGATCCACAGGGAGCCTAAGGAAGCATGGTGACTACATATAATGTGGTATCCTGGATGGGATGCTGGAACAGAAAACGGATATTAGGCAAAAACTAAGGAAATCTGAATAAAGCACAGATCTTAGTTAATAATAATAACGTATCGACATTGGTTTATTAGTTGTGACAAATGTACCAAACTAAGATTGGATGTTAACAACAGGGGAGACTTGACGTGGATACCCAACATCAAGAACTCTCTGTACTAGGTTTGTAACTTTCCTGTAAATCTAAAACGATTCTATATTGAAAGGTTTATTTAAAAAAAGAAAAGAAAAAGGGCAAAATATCCTGGAAAACCTCACAACTGCACCCATCTTGCAAGAATCCTCCTGGCTTGGTAGACAAGCCCAGTTAACAGGGATGACCCAGATCCAGTCCTATCTCTGCCACCGACCAACCATGTGACCTGAGCAAATCGTTTAATCTGTCTGCAACAACTTCAGTTCTTCTTCACTACAGCCCTAACATCCAGACCGTCCCTCCCTGATAGGGATGACGTAAGGATGATATATGATAATATACTTCAGGAGCCAGTCACGCTGCCAAGTCAGGGTGCTCTTACTGCTATTATAAAGCACAGGGTCATCGCCTGGGGAGGGCTCATTCTCATCTGAAAATGCCTCATGTGCAGTAAAAGAGAGGAGTTGATGGTATTTGCCACACCTGGAATAGCACCTGCAGGCCAGATGAGTTTTTATTTGCAAGTTAAAAAGACAGAAGATATTGCCTGCTGCTGTCTATTAAATACAAACCATTCTAAAAGCTACCGTAGTTTAAAAAAAAATTGGCAATCACCAACTGTATTTATGTAGAAGATACAAATACATGTGTTCTACCAGAATGTTTTTAAAACATAGAAAGTGAGCAGGATTTCACCATACGTAAATAACCCAAAATACTCAGAGTGTTTCCCGTGTACATGTTCCCATGCAAGGATGCCCAGCAGCTCCGGCTGGGCATTGAGCATCAGCAACCATGGGTCATAATTCGGCATTTCTACAACAGCCGCAAAGACGCGTTTGAGAGAAGAAAACAGGCAACGTGCTGCGTATCTGGTGCGACAAATGTTGCCCATGAGACTATATCCTGCTTCCCTTTTACTCTTATGGTTTTTAAAAGAATAATGGCATCTCTATGAATGGTTCAGAAATCACATTTCTTTAAAAAGTAAAACACCTTCTCAATAAAGATATGAAGCATGCTCTTAAAACTCACTCTGCAGGGTTCAACAAGCAGGCAAGTGCGAGGTGGTTCTATTCCTGAGTACTCAGACAACTAGATATATTAACTAAAAACTTAAACTCAAGCTTCTCATTGAAAAAACAGGGTGGTCCTGAAGCTCTGTGGGGGCAATGTAGACGCTAGCCCAATTACGCCTCCCCTGGCCAGCCCCCTTTGCTCTAGATTTTGGAAAGGGTTCATACCAACACCCAGAATTAACAATGACCAATCATAAGTACCCAGTTTAAGTACCCCCCCTTTAAAAAGCATTTGGAGATTTTTTTTAATGCATTTTTAGTCTCGCAATTCCAAACCAAGTAAGAAAGAAAATGAAACACTTTAGAGACCTCCAAAATGTTCTCTATGGATTTTCTAATGGTCATCTGTTTCTACGACTCTAAACCCCAACAATGTATGTGTGTAATTTTATAAAATTACAAGCTACCATTGGTTAGGAATTTGGAGAGAGAAATTAAGCTTCTGTAGGGGTTTGTGGTAAAGCGGCTGGAATACCCACACGGAGGACCAGAACCACAGCCTGTCAGGGCCCAGGTCCCTAATTGCAAGAGGGAAGAGTGGAGAGCCTGCCTGACTACAGCACCATCAGTTACTGGGCCAGAGGTTTTAGATTCCTCGACTCTAATCCTCCTAGTAAACCGGCCAAGTTGGTGCCCTCATCATATATATGAAGGCTCAGACTGAGAGAAATTAAATAACTTACAGAAGGTCACACAGCTAGTGTCTATAAGAACCAAAACTGAAACTTGTTTTCCCAAGTCCACTCCAATGCTTCCTCTGCAACCTTTCCCAGGTCTGTCACCAAATTAGACAGAAGTCATCGTGCTATCTGTGCTGACATCTAAAAAAAGAAACTTTTAAGAAAGAAGAAGGATACAAAGGCACAATCCTATGACTATAATTTTGTTTGTGAAATAGTTAAGGGTAATAATTTGGTAGGTCTTTCCTAAAAATGTTTTTAAAAGAAAGTCTTTAGAAGAGCAAGCCTGAAAGTAAAGGCTCATCCTATAGCCCGCATTTGTGTTTCTTTACTAAGGTGGCCATCGTAGCATTCATCCTAAAGAGAGGACAGTGGTTACCATACAAACCAATATAAACTACCCTTAGATTCTGAAACAAAACCCAACTTATTAAATGGGTGATTAGCTTCAGTGTCCAATCTTCGCTCAGTTCTTGTTTTAGAGGTTGCTAGTGGCAGAATACATCTCCCTAAGGCATATTACCTACAACCCAACACTCGGACAGGTTTTTCCAGTTCCATTACTAAGACGACGCAAACAAAAACCTGTGTCACCACCAACCTCACAGTCCCCAGCCTTCCGTTTATAAAATGCATAATCTGAAGGGCAGGGGGGGCATTGACAAAGGCCATCCAATGTGGCCCCCTGTCTATTTCTAGCTCAAATGCCCCTCACCCTAATATGGTCAGATACCAGAAATGTATTCTGCCTTTTTGCCTCATAGGTCATGATTCTAATTACCAGGTTCTCTAACTAAATTTTGGTGAAACAGGAGAAGGTGAATAAATGCCAGAGAAAATATCAGAACTACAACGTTTCCCCAGCACCTTCCCTGATAACGGAAGTTAATGGTGATATGATTTCTGTAAGATTTCAAACCGCCCCTCCCTCACCTCAATCCCAGGAATGAAGACATGGAATTTATAAAATGAGACAAGCCAATTATAAAATCTTCTTATGATCTGTAGTTTAAGTTCTCTAAAGACCTCTTCACTGGGGGCTCTAAATTAGTTTCCAAAGTACTGTGTGCATTTTAAACTATAAAACTACCATCAAAAATATTCTATGGTTTTCCACTAATTCATCTGTCATACCAAATCGTCTTAAGTTTGTAAGATGTAACATTAGTTTGGGGGTTGAGAGCTGACAGTAAAGGAGGAATGGTTTGATAGGACTAGAGTGATTTTTCTAATCACATCTAAATACACATTTTGAAATACATTGTGAGGCAGACCATTGTTAATTGGCTGGGTGTGCTTTCCTTAAGGCTAAAGTGATAAGGTAAATATAACCAACCAAGACTTCCATTGCTAGAGCTCAGGCCATTCCGTCATCACATTTGGTTACTAAAGGAGCCAATAAATTACTCTAACCCCAACCCAAAACCCTGTAAATAGTTCTGGTTATTTAAATCCACTACTAAGAAATCCAGAGATTGATGAATTACAGCAAACCAAACATCTCTAGGAAGAAACTTTTGTCAGAGACAAATATGCCAGTTTTTTTTCCAACTTGGGCCCAAAGATGTAGAAAACCCTGCAAGCAACTGTAACACAATGTCTCTGAAGAGAGAGCAGAGATAAAAATGAGACGAAGAAGATTTACACTGAAGCAAGGCCTGCACTGGGGCAGTAAACACTTTAGGTGTAATTAGTAACAGAGCTGTCAAACCTGTCCTGTGTGACTGCAGCTGCCATCAGTGGCCTAATCCTTCGAGCAGGGATGTGCAGGTACACGAAGGAGGCCGCCTGATAGAACTCACATTTCACAGTTGGGCTGACTGCGGCCGTGTGGGTCAGAGCCTGGAGATCCCTTTGCTTGGCTCTCCTTGAAGAAACCAGCATAAAAGATGACTGTCTTCATCCGAATCCGGTAATTCTTTTTCTTGCTATAATGAAGACAGTCTCCTAATGCAAGATACCTTTATCCCTAATGCTAGAGTGCACAGTCACTACAGTTATGCCAACTGGTTGTGAAGACAGATGGACCCCAAACAGATTAGATTAGATTAAGTGTCAGGGGGAAGCTGCCTGAAATGAA